CTGCACACTAATAATTAACTCACGGAAAAGTAGGAAAACTATCATTCACAATAGCATCAAAAAATTAAAATGCTTAACCTAACTAAAATGAATAACCTCTAACATGAAAATTATATTGAAGAGGACATCAGACAATGGAAAAATACCCCGTTCCTGGATAGGCAAAATGAATATAATCAAATGGTTATACTTCCAAAGCTGATGTACAGATTTAATGCAATTCTAATCAAAATACTAATGTCATTTCTCACAGAGCTAGAGAAAATCCTAAAATTTATATGGAATCAGAAGAGACCCAGAGTAGCAAAAGCCATACTGGTGCCAAAGCCAGTGGCATCACAATCCCATATTTGAAATTGTATTATTAAGAGAAAGTGATTAAATTATTTTTTCATAAAATAAAAAGAAAGAAGTGATTAAAAAGACTTCCACACAACGGTGACTTATTAACAACAACAAAAGAACCATCTTTTTTACCAGAGGCATTTTGACTACAGATTGAGTGAAGTGTGCTTTTACAAGTAATTGAAATATGTAGGACACTGAGGAAAGTTTTTTTTACAGAGGGGACTAGCAAACTTCTTTTCCTAACTATATTTGTGGAGTAATTTAAGATGTTAAGTTTTGGTTCAATAAATTGAAAAACTGTTGTAAAAAAAAAAAAAAAAGACTGTCACTGTCCATGTCCTAAAAGATCTTACACCACCCCAGAAAAACATAGTTGGGCATATAATTATAATACAGCATATCAGACTTTTTTATTGTAATTTTTTTTATACAGTGTATCAGTCTTGAAGGAAGACTCTGGGAGTGACATCTAACCCAGCCATGGAGGCTGTTTTGTTTTGTTTTGTTTTAAATGGCAATTGGATGACATGAGGTTGATGGGCCATAATTTACTCATTCTTTTGTGGTATATTTAACATTCTCCCTCCCCTCCACTTTTATTGTAAATAGTACTGCCCTTAACTAGCCAGCCCTGCCAGGTTACTTGTCACAAGAGTGGCAGGCTTCACTGTGATCTACCGGTGAGCTGGACTGCTGTAGTTTATCTAGTTTTCCCATCTCTTAAAGTTCTATGCAATGTAACCTTATGTAGGTAATTTCACTTTGCAAAAATATCCTTGTGTAAAGCACTTCTCTCTGATATAGCACCCAGGATTTTATATATTTCTTTCTTTCAGTCATCAGCATATATGCAAAGAGATTTAATTAATTATAGTGTTTTTAAATAAAGCGTTATTTTGATAGTAAGTCTTCAAATGGTTTAATTTTTAAAATAATATAATGCATTCTAATATTAAACAAAATATTTTGCATTTGCAGCATTTTTAAAAATGTCTGTGCCACTGTTCTTTGAGTAGAAAGGCTTTGGGTATTATCTGAGGTTTGTGCTGTCTGGGCCTTTTCTCTGCTGGGACTTACAGTAATTGAAAGTTGAGTGCAGACTTCATGACCATGTTTTTGAATTGATCAAATCATCTTAGAGTTGCTTTGTAAAGCTTAATTAATACTTTTTAAATGTTTTACAATTGTATTAAAGACATGGAAAGAAAGTTTTATCCTGAGTTCTGAAATATTAGGCTTCCACATTATATCTACAAAGAATATGAGATTTCTTTTATGTCAAAATCTGCTAACACAAAGTAAGGAAGGAAAGAACTGAGGTGATGATCTCCCTGAGAGAAACATAAGTGATGTTGTTTCCACTCCATTCCTCTGTACGTGCATTGCCTCAGAGTGCCATTCCAATCTTCAAAGCTCCTACAATCTACATCTTAGAATTTTTAATGCCTAGAACCATTGTGTGCCACGCTTACCAAAAGATGACCTACAACATTCAATCACAGAAGTTTCCTGTGCAATTTACTCAATGCCTAGAAGCCTAAAGGAAAAGAAAAAGAAAAAGGTACTGCTAAAGTACTCTATTTCTGAATTCTTACATAAAAATTCTACAAGTATATTAATGTTACATTAAAATTTTTTAAGTTTTTGTTAACGTATTCCCTTCAAACCAGTAGGATGCAGAATCTTCAACAATAAATGGATCGGCAGAATTTGATTATCAATCATGAAGAGGAAAATCACTTAATTTAATAAACAGATCATTCTCCTACCCGGATTGACTAAAAATCATCATAATAATTTCCTTTCTTCATTCTATTCAGGATAAAGGCCTTTTTGAAATGTTAGGCAACTATTTTGTTTTTGTCATACTCTTCTTTTGTATTTAAAGTATTCAATGAAATAATTGTCTAAATAAGTGACAAGAATATAATCTTTTGTAAGGAAAAAAACTTTGGCCCAGGAACATTTTGCTCTGTAGGGTTTTTAAAAAGTTAATAAAAAATTAAATTGCTAAAATGGATTCAAAATTATGATGGTCATTCACGAATTATCAAATGTGAAGACTTTTTCAAGAAACAAAACAGTTAGTATTCTTAAAACCTCCACGAATCAACCTGTTTCTTGTTATTTGGAATACCATCACACAGATCTCTTTTCCAAGACCCACCCCAAAAGTCCCTTCTCCTGTGCAATTTTCTTTCACAAACCTAGAAAGAGTAGCTTCTTTCTGAGTGCAAGAAATGGGCTGAGGTCTTGAGATAACAAAAATTTATAGACAACAGTCTCTGTTCTGCCCCTAAAATGAAGGGAAGAAGCCATAATTAGATCAGTTATCATCCAGTGGAGAAAGGACCACTACAGTAAAGCTCAAGGGAAAAACAAAAAATATTCATAGTCATCGTGGTTCTACAATCCTGTCTCTATACTTCTACCTGGACGGCTTGTATTCTGGCCAACCTCCACGCAAAATGTAGTATTCCTTTATTCATTCAAAAGTGTTCATTTAGTTTCTTCTACATGCTAGGCACAGCAAGTATTGTCTGAGTTGGATGTGGTGGCACATCCCTATAATCCCAGCACTCTGGGGGCTGAAGCACAAGGATCACTGTGAGTTCAAGGCCAGCCTGGACTACATAGTGAGTTCAAGGCCAGCCTGAGCTACACAGTGAGACCCCTGTCTCAAAAAAACAAAAACAAGAAGTCTGGAGTTTTGATACAGATATAACCCATGTCATGACGGATGCTGAGCTCAGCAGTATGTAAGAGGAAGCTGATGAATGAATGTTGAATAAATTAATTAATAATTACTGAGTTAAATTATTTGCAAACAAGGTTTAGAATGTAACATTAAAGTACACACACATTTGAGTTTAATTGGGCATGGCCTAGGAAGTTGAACTCAATAACGACAATGAGATGGGAGGAACCATACCTCAATACTATACCTACAATTTATCAATCACTTGGAAAAACTTAACTATTTTTAACTTATGAATCTTCATTACAATTAAAGAAAAACCAAAGTAACTAGAAAACACTCTGCAGGAATTACTATAAAGAAATTTCTCTGCTCTCAAAGCCATAGCATGAACAATGAGAATTTAAACATAAATTTCAATACTTTTAGGAAGCTGTTTATAAAAGCCTTGGTCACAATAGCATAGAACAAGAAACAACCCAAATATTCATTAACAGGATGATGGGTAAACATATCCTATTACCAAAATAAAAAGAAATAAACTAATGATACAAGGCAACAACATTCATTAAACTCAAAAATGCTATTTTGTTGCATGAAAAAAGTCAGGCACCAAAAAAGTACATACTGTTTGATTCCATCTCTGAAAAGTTTAATAAAAAGCAAAAGCTAGTCGGTGATGCAATAGTGATCGCCTGGACAAAGAAATTATTGGGAAGAAGGAAAAGAACTTGACAATGTTCTATATCTTATTTTGAGTGATGGTTAGTGGATTATACATAATTATCAAAATTCTGGAACTGAATCCTGAAGACTTGTGCAATGTATGTAAATAAGATAAGAAAACAGTCTTGGGCTGGGGATGTAGCTCAGTGGTGGAACAGCTGCCTAGCAGGCATGAAGCCCTAGGTTCAATCCCCAGCCCTTCCATTCATTAAACAATAAATAATATCTTGGAAACATATGTTCTAATTACCACTATTTTCTAAAATTTTATTCAAAGTGTAATTTTGGAAGCTTCATTTTATTTTGCAGGTTTTTTAACATGCTTCTAAAAATCTGAATTATTTTCGGGGCTGGGGTGTAGCTCAGTGGTACAGCACTTGCCTAGCATGTACAAGGTTCTGGGCTCAGCTCCAGCATGCAAAAATCAAAATCCCTGTGTTATTTTTGCAAATTACACACTAACATGAGTAAATAATGGGCTGAATGTTTGGTATGAATATGGTGCTAGACCAACCAATGATAGAGCCCTTTACCCTGTGAGATTCTCTTCAGAAAAGAGGGTGTGACATATTTTGTGAAGTCCTTCACAGCACCACACAGCTCCTTCCTGTGGAAGCGCATAGACTCCTGGTATCAACAGAAGGTCTGCTTTGAGTTTTTTGCCCCTGGAGATGATAGTCTTTGTGCTGACTCATCCACACCCTCTCACCTGGCCTCCCTAACCCAGCACGCATATCTGTGAAGCAGTTGCTTTGGGTGAGGGATTTAATCTGCTGAGTGTGGGACTGAAGGTCTCTCTTGCTAAGAGTATTTGACTGTATGGAAATGAGACGCCTGACCTTGTCCTCATTAGCACCCTCTTCCAAACAGCCTAGTGAATCAGCCGCTGGCACACACCAATAATAAACTGAGAACATGTTGTTGAGTTGATAGTGATATTAAGGTACACAAAAGGCCATTCTTTTCCCTTTAAATCCTTGGTGATATGAGACACATTCTCAAGCTTTCTAATACCCAGAATCATAGTCCCACTAGCACTGCTGCCCTGCTTTCCCTTGTGTGCCTTCCAAACAAATATTCAAGTAATAGATATGACTTTTACTCTACAAACAAGGGTTTATGAAAAATGTCACAATACTTCATTTTGCTCCAAAATCAAAATATATTTTGCATAAATCCACATCTTACTGGGCCTCACAATGTTATGCCAAAGCACCTGGAAACTTACCCAGAGCGTGTCACTTGGGCGGAGTCCACTTGTTTTCAGTTCATACTAATCACCATTCATGTGCTCAGCATCCAAGTTCTTATGATCACTGAAGGTCAGGCAGCTCTGCTGACTTCTGCCAAGCTCAGCACAGGTATCTTTGCTCCAAAGTTTATTTTAGTATATGTGCTGCCGAAGAGAGCACTCTCCAAAGTCTAATACTCAGTCTCTCTAGGTATACCACAAAGTCACTCCTCTCCAGGTCCTTCTCTAAGATGTTTCCCGAGGGCTGAGCAAGTGTGTCCACTACTTGGAGAACAGGATAAAGACCACCACTGTTCCTCAGCCTTGAGAGTCTCCTGTGTTCTCTTTCCTTTTGGCCACTTTTCAAAGCATTCACCTTGAGATAGGATTTGTGGAGGAAAAAAGAGAGAAGAAAAAAACAAGACAATATAAATTAATATCTCAATTATGCAAACATCCACACACCCTAACAATGAAATGACCAAGATAGCTCACTTGGATTTAATATCATTCATAGGCTGTAAGAAATTGAGTTCCTACATATAGAAGCCCTCACTTCCTTTATTTATAAAATGAGAATAAGCTTTAGATCTGCTATTTTACAAGTCTATTTTAAGGACTAAAGTAAACAACAATAACCTTGTACCATTTAAAGAATCTCTTTTCAATTCATGTACTTTCCTATATCATCCTTAAAAGATATGACTGTTTATGAATGAAGGGCACAAAAGTTATATAATATACTTTTTAAATAAAGTTCCAGCAGTCATACCTTGATATATTTTACATCTCCTGCATGCCTGTTCCCTACTACTACGTTATTCACATTTTATTAATTGTGAAAAATGGCATTCCAATTATTTTCCTATTACCTCTCAGGCCCAACCCTAACTTTTTATGTGATGGTCTTATATTCTCACAGGTTAATCTATAATTTTTTTTCCTCTGTGGCTATTTTTTTTTATGGTGTTGAGGATTGAACATTGAACTCAGCACCTTCACACTAAACTATATCCCCAGCCATGTAATGTGAATTTATTTATTTTTACTTTTTCTTTTTAGCTGGGTTCTTACTAAGTTACTAAGTTATTTGGGCTGGTCCAAAACTGCAATCTTCCTGCCTCAGCCTCCCAGAATGCTGAGATTACAGGTGTGCATCACTATGCTTGGCTTCTGTGTCAATTTTTTTTTTTTTTTTTTTTTTTTTTTTTT